TATATATATATATATATATATATATATATATATATATATATATATATGGAAAAAATTATATAAATATATATCAGAACAATTTTAAAAAAAGTGTGACATATTTTGTATCATGATAATTTTATTTTAAATTATAGGATTATTTTGTATTTTAAATAATTAAACATTTAATGTTTCCCCCCAAAAATAATGCAAATTTATTGTACTAATTTATAGGACCTAGAATAAACAACTGTACCCTGTACCCTTTCCCTGTTTGCACTTCTCCCAAAATATTTTGTTTCGATCGGTCAATATATGCCTCTTTTAGAGGGTGTGACAGATGAACGGACGGACAGACGGAGTAATGGAAGTTACGGATATTTTTTATATAGATAGAGACCATATCCTTCCATTTGAATGGATAAATATGCATTTTCTACCGTTAAAATGATATATTGTTTTTTTTTTTACAGTCTGAACTTCACCCTTTATCATCATCTGTGCCATAAACAAATGTTGTCGTAGATTCGCCGCGTATCTTGACAGCTTACCATTTATCTTCACATATTTGGTTTGAAAGCCGAGAGATATTCCTTCATGCGTAGAGTGTCTTGGGTCAGTAGACTCGGTGGTGTCTTTCCCTATCCAGTTAAAACCGCAGCCGATGCCCTCAAATTTGAAAGCTCGTCTTCGTAACCGACACCTGGCCGCCATTGATAACATCGAATGAGCCCTCCTCCCTGGCCTCTAATGAAAACACATAAAGGCGAAAGCTGATAAAATTGTATAAGGCAAGTTCCTATTTGAAAAGACCTTTCTGTCGAGAAAATGAGAATTTAAAAAAATTGATTTTTACTTGGGCTCTGTCAGCCAATTCATAATAACATCTACTAAGCTTAGGTTAGTACGCCAAACGGTAGATATATTTGGATAAGAATAGTAAGTACGCTATGTAGTGAGATTTTATCTTCCTTAACTCATTCACCACCAAAGAAGATTAATTAAGTGACATCACCATTCTTGAAAGACGTGCCTCTATACATTTTGTCCGTTTTTCCATATGTCTCTGATTAATTCCTGTTTTTAAAACTATGGTGCCCAGTGAAAAAGACGGCAAAATTATTATCACTTTCCGGAATAACCTTGAATAAATTTCTGGAATATTCGTGACCTTGAATAATCACAACTACGTAACTGATTGGTTATTTTGTGATTGATTAATTGCTGCTCGATCTTGTGACTCATAAATGAAAGGTTATTTGTCAAAAGATTTTGTCTTTTTTTCTACCCTTCGCGTATGGCCAAACATTTCACTCATTTTGAGCGTAAAGTTATCGTTAGCAAAGAAGAAAGTCCGACGTGTTTATTGACGAAATGTGCATAAATTCTTCCTGAAGGGTGTCTCACGTCTTTCTGAATTTACCTTTTTTTTTCTTTTTTTTTTTTTTACTGTCCCCCCTGTATGTATATATTCTTTGGAGAAATATCATTGTTCTATTGTTTCGTGAGAAAACGTCATCGAAATATACGTCAACGATGATCATATCAAATAACTACAAAAAAACATTATAATTAAAACAAAAAAAAATTCCTAGACAAGATTGGAAAAAAAAGGTTGGAAAAAAGCTATTAATTGTAAGACACAATGTTTGTTCGTCAGAGAGACTGCTAAATTTGCGTGCTACAAAACGGAGACATCTTTATCAAACAGGTACAAAACTAACTTTCTTAGCAATATAGTAACGCAAAATATGACGTAGAAATCTGTAGATGCATAGGACTAGCAAAAATGGCTTCCAGATACTGTACAAAGTATTTAATTAAGAAAGCTCCGTTGGAACTAAAAAAAAAGTGGGTTAACGTGCTCTGTTATATGTAACCTAATATTTAGCAGTGAACCATGAATAATTTCTTAATATATGAAGAGAGTTCATAACAAAAAAAATGTCGTTCTACTGATATATACTACATTATATACTGAATATGACAGCACTGAGGATGTTTTAAATAAAATGGCAGCTAAAACGCTTTATGCTTTAAATCAGAAAGATGCTGTTCATAATTCTGCCAGTCATAAGAAAGAAAGCTAGTCTGGTGAAATTAACGTTCACATGATATACTGAAGACAAGAGGCTGCTGAATGAAACAATGGGTCAGTTACATGACGTGTCTGTGTGAATAGATGGCTAAGAGTGGATAAAGAAGGTTGGTAAAAAGTTAAAAGTTGTCTAGAGCTACAAAGAACAAGGAGTTGTGGAACGCCATGGTTACTTTCTTCCTGAAGGCCTTTGATTCATTGATTTGTTATCATGCCTTTGCAGGTAATTTAATGTAATAGAATACTCGTAGATTGTAAGAAAGTTTTGTATATAATAATGGTTTAGTGATATGAGTCTAACTAATTAACCCATAGCTCGGGAGAGGATTGTTAGGTTCATACGTTTTTCACGGGAATTTCCACATAGGTGAATACAACGAACCCAAGCGGAACTGGAATAAGGCCCTCCGATGAACAAATTCATTACAGCATCTTGTATTCCAAGTGGTCACCCATCTAGGTACTGACCAGGCACAATGTTGCTTTACTTCGGTGATCTTACGGAAACTAGTGTTTCTACATGATGTGACCGTAAGTGCTGTGTCCCTTCAGGACGTTGGCGGTCATGGCTCTCAAATATTTCCTACGCTTTGCAGCTCTTAATAAATTTTGTCTTTTTGCTATTTCTCTTACACCTTGCTCCGCCATCCATTTACACACACTTGCCTGGTAGGTTATGCCTTGTTTTCTTTTGGGCTTCTTGCTTTCAATTTTTCCTGGGAGTATCAAATTTCCGAACCCTCTTTGTCAGAACGTGACCTATAAATTTCAACAGGTCACATAAAAGAAAGAATATGAAATGCAAGCTGAACATAATCGGAAACATTGAACGATATTAATATACAATGGCGGAATATGTCTCTCTAGTTGTCATTACTTTTCTTCTTTGTTTCAAATTAATACTTTTGTGTGGCCGTTAGCTCTTCAAGTTACTTCATCGGATTTCTGACATTAAAATAATCTTTTTAGATAACTCATTTAATTTGTAAATTGTAATAGAAAGGAAAGCGAACCATTTTATGAAATTATGAACAAGTAGCATTTACGCATTGCCTTAAGCACAGTTAATCAAATCTTATTTAAAATTATTCATTTCTTTCTCTAAAATTCTCTTTCTTCTGATTCATTGTAAAGTTACACGTATGCCACTTGGAATAGGACTTGTGAGAAACACACACACACGAACACACATACATACATATATGATAACGATATATATATATTTATATATCAAGAACAATATTGGCGGAATATGCATGATGATCTTTTGCGACGCATTTCATCAGTAACGAGACTGACCAAAATTTTGACATAAAAACATGCTACTCTGTTCAAAGAAGAAAACAATTCACTACGACGAAAATATCTGGAGAGTGCCTTGATCGCAAAGTCATCTCCAGTATATTTGCAACCTGGCTTTTATAACTTTTCAACATTCATGGCAGAACTTCAATTATCACAGTGTGGGATATCTACTAAAAATACCGAGGAAAAGAATAAGAAAAAGAATCTAAATGAAGTAGGTTAGATAAAAAAAAAAAATTAAGCTTCCCATCATCCCTCATTCGTGCGCATGTGTAGATGTAACAACATAACACATTTAGTCTAATGAAATGCTAAAGGACGAAATACTTCACAATAAAACTTTTTCCACTTTCTCACACATTTTTCCCAAATATTTATATATACGTATAATGTTATATGAAAAGATTAATTAATATTTAAATATGAACTTTTCCCGACTTCGAAGTTTCTTGGTAAAATTTCCAGTCTTCAGGGTTTGTGGCTTTAAATTGTATTTTCAATTTTTTTCAGATTTTATAAGATAATATATTGAAAAGAATTGGAAATGCCATTTAAAACCACAACCCATTAAGACTGGAAATTTTACAAAGAAACTTCGAAGTCGGGATGAAAATTGATAATTAAAAGTGAAAAAATCTTTTCATATCATATTATTAACTCTCTATTTTTTAATATTATTGTAATATTTTTAATATTGAACACTATATATACACCAGTTTTTGGGCGGTCACCGAAAATAGGAGTCTGCTCTTTATCTAAATGTGTCACCGTTTGGGAATACCAGGTGCTGAAAGATTGGATGTCCGTGTTGTATATGGATACTGGCTAGGAATTAGAAATCATAGAACCGGATTCCACTTCCACTTGGATTCTTTATATACACAGACGCACAATAGACTTTGGAAAAGTATGAACTCCCTATTATTTCTGGACCCCAGATATCGGTTAATTAATGCAACTTGTAACAGTATTACCTCTAAATAGTTCTTACAATCTTCAAATGTCTTCTGGCTTTAGATAACATGAAAAATGTTAGGTTGGTAAGTCATTAAAACCAAATCAATAAATCACATATTTCTACATCATATCATCATTATTATTATTATTATTATTATTTTCTTTGATTTCTGGCGTTTATACATTTCTTTCCGGCTCCCGCCCAGAGACCTATGCTTAGAAATGGCATCATGACACTTTCCACTGACAAAAAACAAAAAAAAACAAAAAAAAAATTACATAGATAAAGCCCTTCGTAAAGTGTGGGCTGTACTTGTCAGAACAATTTTTTGTATCTCCTTGAGGCATGGACTTCCAGGAATCCCTTCCATTAGTCTACTGCAATCTTTTCCAAACAGTCCTAGGGCTCCAACTACAACAGGGATTGTTGATGTTCCCATATGCCACATTTTCGAGATTTCTATTTCAAGGTCCTTGTACTTTGACAGCTTTTTGAATATCTTCAATAATACATTGCAGTCAGCAGGGACTGCCATATCAATAAGGAGGCATCGTTTTTGTTTGTGGTCTTTAATAACAATTATTATTATTATTATTATTATTATTATTATTATTATTATTATTATTATTAACAGTGTAATTGTCGTCCTCCGATCCGGGTTTTTCGAAAATCTTTAATAAATGGAATGTGCTCAACTGTGTTCAATTCTTTTCCCAACTTTATGCAGTGGAAACCATCCTATAGCTCGGTGTTTTTCTGTATAATGAGGATGCCAGTTGAAACTCTGACCAACGTTATATTATCGAAGACACAGATCTATAGATGACAATTTTGTTAAAATTAAAAAAAATAAATAAATTAAAAGAGCGTGGGAAAGTTCATATATGAAACAACTGGTAGATGTATATTTTAAATTCCCCCTTATCCTGCATTAACTTTGTTTCAATTGACAGGGTAGAAAAATTCAAAATGGGAATAATATATGAAGCGAGGATGATTGTTTAACGCTAAAAAAATGATTCTTCCACCAATATTCTTGCAAGAAATATGGTGAGTCTACTTAGATAGTCGGCATTCAAAACCTTGACTGCATAGCAAAAAATCTGTGGATTCATTCCCAGCAGGGTAGAGGAATTATTGTTTCCGTTTATGGGCGAACACTGACAACATACACTGATGGCACTAACTTATACTAGAACTTATCAAAGAATACCTGGACTGTAGGTATTGTAACGGAGCAAAAGTGCGCTGAGTAGGGCCGCTTAACATAGATTGATATCGAACTCTGTTGCGTATGTACATGATGCTATAATGTGCTCATTCATTCTGTTGCGCTTGGAAGAAAAAATGTCGAGTGTGGTCGCCTCACCACACCACTGAGATTCTATTAGTGAGTATGTCATATGTGGCACTTTTGAGCCAAGTACGACATTCCCCAGGTCCGAAAACCACTACATTCGCCAAATCTTGCTCCTTGCGACTTTTCCCCAAAATCAAATGCCAGTTGAGAGGAACAAGATTTCACCACGTCAAGAAAATCCACGAGAAGACGACAACGCAGCTGCTCGCTATCCCTTAAAATGAGTTCCAGCAACGCTTCCAACAATAGAAACGACGCTGGATAAAGTCTGTGACGTCAGAAGGTGAGTACCTTAAAGGAGATTAAAATGTCGACTACTTACGTGTCGTAGTTTTCTTTCTTTTTTTTTTTCAGTCATGATACATTTTGTTTTATCAAATCTCGTATACGATATTTGTTAATATACTATTAATGAACGCCGCGTGAAGGAAACAGGTTCGCCAAATAATGCTACAAATGGCGAGGATGCATCTGCTTCGTAAATAAAAGCTTGCAAACGTTGGTTTTTGCCTGATCTCGAGCACCACCCATTGACACTTGTCAGAATTTCACAGCTAATTACGACACCATTAAAGCCATATTCGGAATGACCCAATACAAAATATTCCGTTAAATATATCTGTATAGAGATACTTGAACCTATTAAGCTTTTGACAAGAACGGTGAAGCTCTGGCTGTGGCTGGAGTTATCTTAAAGGCTTTCGACACATTTTAAACAGTCTTGACTTCCCCACACGCTCAAGGGCAAAATATTAATCCAGTTTCTAACAAGTGTAACGATGATCGTCTTGAACAGGTCCGCTTCTAGTACACGTTTTTCTTAATGCAGACAACTGTTTACCCCTGTCTGACAGATCAGATGAAGTAAATCTGAAAACTGCTGCCGAAAAGGACCCGCAATCACTGGTTAACAAAAAGCAACACTAGTTTCACTATTTACATTATTCGGACTATTGTCCTCATTTTTATCGTCATATATATTACAATGTTTCGGCCGTTGTACGCTCCGGCCATCTTCATGTGGTTGGCATGTCAAACTGAACCCTTTATTTCGCTCAATGGGGTAGACTGTCCTAGTTCCACGTGCCATGTTTAATGGATGCCAGTTATCAGTTATCTCCTGTTAATTCCCCTCTCCAATTCCTCTACGCCTTAACCAGGTATTGAACTCACACTCTTTAGATCCTGTCACTAACTAACACCTATGGCACATTGGATAGAGGCGTTAGTTAGACCCAGTGGCACGACCCCAAAAGTGTGAGCTCAATACCCGGTTAAGGTAGTGGAGAACTTGGAGAGGGGAATTAACAGGAGATAACTGACATCCATTAAACATGACACGTGGAACTGGAACAGTCTACCCCAGTGAGCGAAGTAAATGGTTCAGTTCGACATGCCAACCACCTGAAGAAGGCCGGAGCGTACAACGGCCGAAACGTTGTAATAAATATGGTGACAGAGATGATGGCAATAGTCCGAATAATGTAAATAGTGTACATAATACCTCATCTCAGAAATATAGATAGATATTGAACTCTACTTTCATTTAATCCACCCATAGAATATTTTCTGCCTTCCATCAGCATGGCTGATGTTAACCTTCAGGTGAGTAGCACTTGGGTTAGAACATCGACGTAAGGTTGAGATTTGGCTATGTCTGTTATTCCTCAAGATCGTGATACACAGCAATAACAAATTAGATTTCAAAGTTAACTGCAACCTCACGACCCGAAATGATTTAATCAATTTCTATTCCCACCGCAGTCAAAAAATAAAATGTGTGATTATAGGGTTTTACCTCTGAGCTCTAAAGATATGTAGCCCAGAATATTTGGGTGAAGAAAGGAAATACATTGAAAAAAAAAACATTTAGAGTTTTTCACTACCTAAATCCTTTCATCCTCAAAATTAA